CTGCGGTCCCACGCAGGCTAAGGCTTCTCCGGTGCCTCCACCCTTCCAGGGGTCCTGCTCCATTACCGTCTGCTCACGTCCTCAGCTCCGAGTCCCCATCATCACCTGCAGCTGAGCAAATCAGTGAGTCATCAAAGCCACCTGTCTTTCTGTTTGGGGGTCACACCCATGAACAGATCCTGGAGTCCCCTTCCCCCACTCTAGTTTATGCCCTGCTTGAAATGCTTTGTGGCTGATTGTCCTCTATGAGGAGCCCACCTGCAGTTTGGATATTGTCACAGGTGTCATTTCTGCGCCCCATTGGAGGATTAGCAAAACTAACCAATACACACCATGAATTACGAGTGTCAGACATCACAGGCAAACTTCCATCTGGACGTTCAGTTCAATGGGACTTTATGGGCATGATAAACTACAGCAAGTGCTTCCAAAGTGTAAAAAGAGAGAGCCTCACAGGTGTCTGTCAGAGGAGGGGTATGCCCCACCCAGGCTAGAATTACATGTGGTTGTTGGGGTTGAGTTCATGTGTCCACTCCTGAGCTGGTGGCCGGTTCCTCTGAAGTGCATGGCCTGTCAGGGAATATTCAGGCTTCCTAGTTTTTACTTTTGATCCTTTGATCCTATTTGGATGCAAATGTCCCTAGAGATTAGGAACAAATGAAGGAGACAGAGGCAGGATAGTTTCTGGAGAGAGCAGTTTGCTCTACATTTCCCCAGGATGAACCAGGAGCGTTAGGTCCCTTCTGAGCCACTGGACCCATTGTGTTCAGGGGCCAAGCTGCCAGGAAAGGGTTGTTAACTCAAAGCATACATCACATCATGTGAGTGACTCTGTTAGCTGCTTCTGGGGGGCTTTGTGGAGGGGGAGAAGGTTTATGTAAGTGTCAATCATTACTATGTTTCACTATTTGTAGTACAGTAACACCTAGCGGTTCCAACCAAGATCGGGGCCCCTTTGTGGTAGGTGCTGTACAAACACATACTGAGAGGCTAGCCCCTGCCCCACAAAACTGGCAGTCTTAGGGGACGAAGGCAAAGAATTGAGTTGCTGAAGGTCACACAGTGGATCAGTGGCAGAGTTGGAAACAGAATTGATGTCTCCTGAGTCCCACTTGAGGGCCCTAGCATCTACACCCCACTGTCACTTAAATAGGTGTTCCCCAGAAAGGAGTTGGGAAAGAAACTAGCTGATTCAGGCAATGAACTGTTTGGCCAGGAATCTCATTAAAGCACAATAAATCCACAAACTCATAGGGCAGGTCTACACTTAAATGCTGCTGCTGTGCTGCTGTAGCGCTTCAGTGAAGACACCACCTACACCAACAGGTGGACTTCTCCCATCGGCATGGGTACTCCACTTCCCCAAGATGTGGTAGTTAGGTTGACTGAAGAAGTCTCCCATTGACTTACTGCTATGTACACTGGGGGTTAGGTCAGTTTAACTGCGTCACTCAGGGGTGTGGATTTTTCACACCCCTGAGCAACATAGTTATACAAACTTAATTTCCTAGTGGAGACCTGGCCTTAGGAAGGAGACAAATAAGAAGGGATATGATAAAGGCAGTGTGGGGTCTCTCACAGACCAATAGTCCCAGGACTCCCGCAGACCCAGTGCAGCTAATATAACAAATGTGCCTTTCCCCCGGACACCTAAAGATCAGGCAAGACTCCGCATAGCAGAGGTTCCCCCTCATGTGCTGCAGCTCAGCATGGCCAACCTGCAATAACAGCACCTGGGGAATGGGTGCACAGTCTAATGTCATCTTATCTAAACGGTCTTAGCTAGAGGGTTCTAATGTGCCCCTCATCACAGGATGGAGGCTCTAAAGCTGCCATGGCTGCAAAGATGCGCAGGCTATGTGAAGAGTGGTGCTTTCCAGCCCTTTCCTAGTCAGCATTACCTCCAACTGGAATGTTGCTGGGTAGCAGAGATGCACTCAGGGCTCTCACCAGTCCCTACATTCCAAGCCCTCTGCCTTTTCTCGCTCCCTGGTTCTGCTGGATCTGGAAGAAGAGCCGTGGCAAGAACTCTGGCAGTAAAACTCCAGTCCTTTGGCCACCAGCCAGCTCCTGTGGTTATATTGTCACACACGCGGATAGTAACAGACCTGGCTCCTAGAAGACATGGGCCTTACACCAATACCAGAGGCACAACCCACTGGCACTAAATGATGTTACGGGGCACTGCAGGCATGTGGGCAAAAGGACTCTGGCCCACTCAGCACACACACAGGGATAGCAGCTCTCACCTGCACTGCTCTATGAATGATACTGCACCCTCTCAGGGTCAGGAGCTCCAGCAGCGCTTGGTTTAGACTGGTGACTATAGACAGTCGTGTGTTTGTGTGCGAGGGGGTCTGCATGTCCGTTGGGTGTGTGTGGGCCAGCAAACAAGAGGGACGTGTGTGTTTTATGATGGTGGGTGGGAGTGGACAGGGGAGAGTGTGAAAGAGCTTTCAGCGTCTGGGTGTGTTTTCATGTTCTCCTTGGGTGTGTGAGTGTGAGAGAAAGAGTGTGAGAGTTTCCATGTTGTGTCTAATAGGCTCTTTGTTTAACCAGCGCAGAAGGAAGAAGAAATCATCTGCATATAATGAATCCATTTACTGGATGGAGTTCCCAGGAGAGGGGCAGGAGAGCAGGATTTATGGAAAGCACCAGGCTGCTGCTGCCAGGAGGGGGACACCAATCTGGTTTTGATTTTTACTCATAGTGGAGGCGGCCACACAAGCCAAGGCCTCATAAATGTCCCGCTGAGGAGAGTGGCCCATTGATGTGGGGCTGTCAAGCTCTATCCTGGCCATTAATACTGAGCAGCCCCATGTCTCTGACTAATTCCAGCCCTGCTGTACTGGCTTCCAGGGACGTGTTTCCCCAAGTAGTAGCTATTCAACGGGGCCTCATCTCCCAGGGGCTCTGAGAAGCTTTAAGGTGAGTGGGAGGGGAGAATGGAGAAGTGAGCAGAGCTCTCCCACCAGGAGACAGGAACCAAGCTGCAGTAGGTTGGGAACAGAAGCCCTTTAACTGAAGAGCCAAGTGCTGTCTATGGAGCATGAGCAGTGGGCAGTGAATGATGGGATTGTAGTTTCGCTTGGTGCACACATCTGCCTGACAGATCTTGCTTCATCTGGGCCACAAAGCCATGGGTGAATCACGGGACAGCAGAGTAACAGCAAATATGGACCCTAGTTACAGTGCCTTAATATGCCGAAGCAGTGAACCCCACTTCCTGCCCCAGCATTTTGCGCATGGATTTTAAGTACATTTAAGTCTAATGGATTCTTCTGGGGCTCAGTATCCGGTGAGCCCCGTTCCAAAACAGTTGCCACGTGGAGCTAGTTGAATGCTTTCTCTTTTAAAGCTCCATGTGGGAGAGACTTTATGGCCAGGCCCATCCCTCTACACTTCAGCCTTTGGGGTGGGAAGCTCTTTCAAAGGGTACATCTCCACAGCCTGCAGCAGCCCACGGCAGTGAGTCTCAGAGCCTGGGTCTACAGACTCCGGCTCTCACTATGGTGCTAAAAATAGCTGTGTAGACGGTCGGGCTCGAACTGGAGCGTAGGCTCTGAGGCCCACCCCCTCGCCCTTCTAAGGCTTCAGAGCCCAAGCTCCAGCCTGAGCCCAAATGTCTGCACAGCAACTCTGAGTGCCGTAGGGCACTGGTGTCCCCCCGTGAGCTCAAATCTGTAGACCCAGGCTCTGAGCCTCGCTGTCATGGGCTGCTGCTTGCTGTGGAGACAAACCCCAAATCTCCTCTAAAAGGAGAGCACCTCTTGTTGGAGGCCTGCAAGCCTATTCAAGAACCTTCTGGCGCAGCAGCACCTACTGCCATGTTCTGCATCATGAGGAATGGGCCATAGTGTCCTCCCCACTGGCATCAGGAACAAATCACCCCTGTGGCATATGCCCTGTCCCCAGATTTCATGTATTCTTGGCCTTTGGGCTTTCAGTATAGCCCTTTGTTCTTTCCAGCAATTCAAGTAGAAGTGGTGCAGGGCTCCTTGGAGATGCCAGGGTAGCACAATGCTACTGGCTTTATTGCTGGCAGGGTCAGGGCCCTGCTGCCCTCTTCACTCTGGTTGCAAAAGAAGTCACTAGAGAGCTGCGTAGAGGTTGCTCGGAAGTGAACAAAGGTGGCATCTGGGAACGGGCTGTTTCTCTGCTGCAGCCCAAAAAGCGGAATCCTGCTAAGCAAAAAAGACTTGAGTGGATGAAAGAGCTCGGAGTGAACCAATGACTTCCCCTCACTGCCCTACCAATAAACCCTCCTCTTGCTAACCCCTGTTAGCACTTTGCCCCCACCCTCCTGTACTCCAGAGCCAATGAAAAGTTGCAGGCCATCAGGCAAATGGTGTCTCTCCCATAACAAACCATACGTAGCTGGGGGGGAGCAGAGAGAGAGAGAGAGTGTGTGCGCGCGCGCGCTACTTTAAAGCAGCCCCAAACAGGCTGAATTTTCATTCTCCCAGCCACAGGGAAGGAGAGAGAGGGAGGCACTTATATATATCCACCAACACTGATGGGGTAGATCCCCTAGTTGCAGGTCTCAGACAGGTGGCCAGAAACTCAGTCAGGAAGTGACTCTCCAATCTGTGGGAGAGAAAATTAAGGAATCCAGAAGGGGGCTGGTCAAATTCCACCTGACCTGATCCCACAGCATCTTCCTTCTGATGGGGATGAGGTCCCTTTACATTATATCCAAGAGAATTGCACTGTTTGAAGCTCAAAAATACAGATATTTTTACAGAGTCTCCCATGTATATAAGCTCTGCTTGGCACAGAGGAAGGCTGAGGGCATCTGGGAGCCAGTTTCAACTCCCTGATCCTATGGGCTGGTTTATGCCAGTCCGGGCTCATGCCACTGATGTATGATCTTTATAGAATCTTGCACCAGTGGAGAATCAGTGTAACAATGCAGAACTCTGCCATGTTCTCATCTTGCCTCTGAGATGTCCCTAGACCAGGGTGATGGGGGCAGCCTGTGCAGGAGACATCTCTGCCAGCTTTATGCCAGCAGATCCCTTCCACCAGGGGAAATCCCTAGTGGCCACTTGCAGTCAGATTCCAGATAGTTTGCACTGACTGAGTGATACAAATTGGTCAGAGTGGAAACAGGACTCTGAACAACTGTCTTCTCTGAACAGGCCATGTCTTCTATTCTCCCAATCCCAGATATTTTTCCATCCATTCCCATGTATGGCCTAGGTTCTACCATATTTACAGAATAGACTGGATTGTGTGACATGCAGTCCATGCTGGTATATAGCATGCAATTTCCACTGGATTGGGACATGCAATCAATGCTGGTTTATACCACCACAGTTTGCGCTATGAATGGGATTTCAGTATAAGGGGAACATGAGTGCGTCACATAGAGAGACCAGCTGAAGGGTTCTAACAGAGTCCACTGGAATTTCCGCTAGGACCAGGAACAAGGTCTGCTTCTTCTGGAGCCCTAGTTTGATGGCATCAAAGTGCCAGAGAACCAAGAACGGGAACAACTGGTCAAGACGGTTTCCCTGTCCGAGCTGGATGAGGAGCAAAGAGTAAACAAACAGACTCAATACTCTACAGTTGAGATTTTAAACTTTCTTTCCATGTGCATGAGCTCACGTGTCATTAGTAACATAGGGAAGGATATTTAAAACAACACAAATGTTATGGTGAGTGGCTAATTTAATTACTCGCTTCAGCTCTCCCTCCACCCACCTCCATTCCCCTCTTCTAAAGTACTAGTACCAAATCTACTCAGAAGAGTAGTACAATGGATTGAAGGCCGGGAATGTTGAAGAAAGTTGGGTTGCACTATATTGGATCTACCTATCATCTAGATTCTTCTATGCCCCCCATCACTGTGGTATCTGAGCACCTCCCAATTTTAAATGTATTTATCCTCACAACATCCCCTGTGAAGTGGAGCCATGGTGTTATCCCCATTTTACAGATCAGCACTGAGTCCCAGACCCTCAAAGGTATTCAGGCGCCTAACTTTCATGGAAATCAGTAGACATCAGATGCCTCAATATCTTTGATGGCCAGAAAGACTAATTGTCTTGTTCAAGGTCACTCAGGAAGCCTGTGGCAGAGTAGAGAACTGAACCGGGGTTTCCTGAGCCCCAAGCTAGTGTCCTAACCCCTGGGAGCATGATGCTGTATCAGATAAACAGCCTGGAAGTGTCCTGAGAAACTTTATACAATCATCAGGAGGTTACAAGCCTAACAGAGAAGGAGCAAAGTAGCCAGGGAGAATGTGTGAGCTGTATTCACAGACTTGCACACAACTATACACAACATGACATGCTCACACACATTATTGCATGGCTGCATATATGATATACTCTCAAACCCCACATTATGTTTGTGGGTGCTATGACACACAGGCACATTCAAACATTATTAATTTATTATTTATTATTATATCTATTAGTGTTACCAAAGGATCCCAAATATCAGCTAATGCCATCATCTCCTCGCCAAATAGCCCTTCTCTAATCAATCCCATGCTAGTAATTAAATCTACCTGCCTCCTTCATATCCCCCACTGGCTGTTTTCAGGACACAAACTCTTCCTGTTACGAGATGTAATTCCGTCTCCCCTGAAGTCTGGGGTTTCCAGTGTCTGTAATCAGGGAACCCATGTGCAATCCATTTAACGTCCAGGTGATGGCTGGCAGGCTGAGCCCTATTGGATTCTGTGGTTTGGCTGCAGCCTCTAGATTCCTGACCTTCCAGTGCTCCAATTGTGAGCAACTTTATGGCCAGACCCATCCCTCTACAAACCATCCTGGAAAGGGCCAGAAGGTGGAGACGAGAATGACTGTCTCCGAGCATTAGGACCAGGAAGCAGAGTTTCCTGGAGCAACTCTGGTGATCACGTGAACCCACCATCCAAGCTGTGGAGCTGAACGCACAAAGGATTCAGACAGAGCCTATGAGCAGAGAAAGGCCCAGCCTGGCCTTAGGTTCAGCGGCATGAACTCTGCCACTTATTATGGAAAAGCTATCGGCTCCAGTGTTGGCCCTTTAGAAAAGGTCTTGCTAGGATGGTGTAATTTGTGAACAACTCTCAGAGGATATCAGCCCAGCATGGTGTGTCCAGGGCAAAGCAAATTCTCCTGCATGGCTCCTACCAGTTCAGTGAGGAAGTAACTTTCCTCCAAGACCAGCTCAGTTCTGACCGTCTTGGCCAGGGGCAGGTGACTTAAAATTAAGTCCAGCTCAGTAAAGCTCCTACCAGATTAGATCTGATTTGCACTGGCTCCTGTTAGTCCTAAGAGGCTCCCACTGGTTTGGCTGATGGGCTGAGCTCTGGGAAAGGAACATACGTCTCCTCTCCCCTGCAAACTAAAGCAAACCATGAGTGGGAGGTCCAAGGGACATCACCAGTAGGAAAGTTCTCCCAGGTGGCATTCCTCAGGATGACATAGAGTGGGACAAAAGGGAGAGGATGTTACAGTTAAAGCTCTGAAGAAGTTCCCCCTGCCCACAGAGGTATCCATCAAGCCATGAGCTGGTCAAGAATGGTGCTTTGAAACCCACAACTGTTTGCTTGTGCCAGAACGTCATGGCATTCACAGATGTGTTGGGAGTGGGGGGGGAGTGGGATTGCAGTGGTATATACACCTTGTGTTGGGCAGGACTGGATTTCCCCCAAAGGGAACACAAAAGGGGCACCAACAAAGCCAGTGTGAATATGTGTAAAAATATTTGCAGTAATCCCCCTCCCCCCGCCCCCAGCACAAACATCAGCCATCTGGCTTGGGCTACCAGGTGACTGACCTTCCAGGCCCCCTGGACACAGGCTTCCACAGCTTCTCAGCCACTTCACTCCCGCCTCCGAAAATTCGCTGTCCCTTGACTGCACTGAGCCCATCTATCAGTGCCCCTTGGTGCTGGAGACGCTTGCAGAGAGAGAGAGAGAGCACCTTCCTCACCAAGAGAAGTTTTTCATCGCTTAACGGCTCAATAACACGCTCCCAGAGAGGGACACTCAAGAGTGCCCTGTATCCTGGAGACGAGCCCAGTCCTGCAGCACCTCTTTCAAACTTAGCAGGCACTCTCCCTACCCCCTTTATTCCCTTGACAGAACTGGAAACCAAAAGGATTGCTTTGATTAGATCGTCTGACTTGCATCCAGGGCCCCCACCTCACAAACCCTGCCACACTGCCTCCAAGCACAGACCAGTCTCCTCACATTAACTGACTGTGTGGGCTGCTTTGCCTCAGGACCAAGGAGCCTGCTGCATTCTCTTCCAACTGTGTCGTCGTCAGCGTCATGCTGACTGATTCAAGCAGTGAAGAGAGAGATTGTTTTTCTAACCTGTCCTCCTTTAAGTAAACTTTCCCAAGTATTCCTCTCCACTGTCGTCAGGATCATCTGCTGCTCACAGATTTCGGATCCTGAAAGGAAAACTTCAGACTACAGAAAAGATTTTCAAATCCTTGCATCTAAAAAAGAAAGAGAAAAAAAATCAACTCAACACTAGCCTGCAGCATCCCCTGCTATTTCAAGTCCTGGGCTCCACACTCCCTACACAACTCTACAGACATCCCTCACTTGGACTTACAGCCCCCCTGTTACTCCCAGTCCTGTCCCCCCCCCCACAGCTCTGCCCATGCCCCTCACCCCTGACCTGCAGCCCCCCTGCTATCCCAGCCCTGGGCTCCCCACACACAGCTCTGCCAGTGCCCCGACCCCTGATCTGCAGCCCCCCTGCTATCCCAGCCCTGGACTCCCCACACACAGCTCTGCCAGGGCCCCTCACCCCTGACCTGCAGCCCCTCCATGCTGTTCTAATCATAAGCCCAAATTCAGCTCTGCTAATGCACCTCAGTCCTGATTTATGACATCCCCTGCTATTGCAGTCCTGGGTCCCTCAACACAAGCGTTCCAATGCACCTTAGTCCTGACTTGCATCACCTCCTATTCCATGTTAGGTCTTCCCTAGACATAACTATCAGTTGTGGAACATAGGAATTGCCACACTGGTTCAGACCTGAAGTTCCTCTAGCCCAGTGTCCTATCTCTGACACTAGCCAGCACCAGGAAGAAGATGTAAGAACCCAGCAATTAGGCAGATATGGGATAATCTACCCAACACACTACATCTCATGCTAATCTCTAACAGAGATAGGGTTTAAACCCTAACGCATGAAGTTTAACATCCCTTCCAACATTTTTATTAGCATTAACTATTATAACTCTAAATATTGGTCACCCATATAAATGTCCAATCCCTTTTTGAATCTTGCTAAATTCTCGATCTCAACAAATTCCTGTGCCAATGAGTTCCACAAACTAATCACACATTGTGTGAAAAAGGATTTCCTTTTATCAGCTCTGAATTTGTCACTTTTTAACATCATTGAATGTCCCCTTGTTCTTGTGTTATGAAGCAAGGAGAACAGACGCTTCCAATTTCCCTTCTCTAGACCATTCATCGTCTCCTCGTCACTTTTCAAAGACAAACAATCCCAGTCTTTTCAATCTCTCATCATATGAGAGTTTTTCCATGATCATTTCATGGTCCTTCTCTAATTGTGCAGTATCTTTTTTGAGACAGATGACCAGAACTTCAAACACTATTCCAGAAGAGACTGCACCATTGATTTATATGATGGCATTATATTACTTTCTGTTTTATTCTCCATCCCATTCCTCATGCCTTCAAACATCTTGTTTGCATTTTTGACCATGGCCGCATCATATTGAGCAAAGGTTTTTCTTGAGATGTCTGCAGTAATGCTCTGGTCCCTTTCATGCATTTAAACAGTTAATTTAGGACTTTGTAAGATGTATAAGTAGTTTAAGTTTATCCCTCCAGTGGGCACCGCTTTACATTCACCAACATTGAACATTATTTGCCCATTTACCTAGCTTGGTTAGATCCCTCTGAGCTTCCTCAAAAGACCTTCCTGGTCCTGACTAACCTAAATTTGGTTAGTTTCAGCATGCTGGTATTAAAAGCTCCTGCACTGCAAGTGAAAAAAAGTGCCATTACATAATGCCAAACACCACCATTTGTTTTGTGTTTGTAAATCATTTTTTGCTGAACTGCATGCTGTTGAATTCACAGCCCTAGAAGATGAAGGCCTTTCTGGACACAAAAGAAACAGCACTGGCTTCCCCAGGGCATGTCAGAGGCCCCATCTCTAGGTACTCTAGGGAGCTGAAGCTTTGTGACGAGTTCAATCCATGCCTTCTCTGATGAAACTGTCAAGGAGAATGATGACCGCCAATTGCTAGGTTGTTTGGGTGATGCTAGGAATTCAACTAACCCCCCCAAATCATTTCACATATGAGCTGCCAAACAGCCATAGATGGGAACGCTTTATTGTGCAATGGGTTTGTCATGAGGCTGAATATCCACTTAAGAATAAACCACAACCATCAACCTCCTCTCCTCAGTAAAACACCTTCCAGCTGAGACTTTCCACGACATTCCCTCCCCACAGCATGGTTTCCAATTCCAGAACAGGGTTGTGGGTCCACTGAGCTCAGGAGCTACTGCGCAGTGGTGCAGGGGCTGAGGTCCCAGCCAGGTGTGGACCGAGTGTGAAGAGCAGAAGGTTAACGTGCCCCATTCATCACTGGACAGCACATCTGTAAAAAGGAAATAAATATGAACTCAAGTAAAAATTTAGTGCTGACTTGTGCTTGTGATTCTTCAAAAGAGTCGTATTCCCTCTCCACTGCATCTCCTCTTCTCTGTCCCAGAGACACAGAGTTCAAGTACTGCTCGGAATATCATTCTGCTTTTTCTTCCAGTCACAAAGAGATTTAAAGTTTTGTTGTGTTGCCAGACTCATAAAAAGAGGCCGTCACAATCTGGCCAAATTTAAAAGAACTGTGTGTTTTAGGAAAACCCAATTAAATTCTCTGGTCCTAAGTATCTCGCTTTCATCTCTGCCGAGTATCAGCTTTCTCCTTTCCTACCAGCCTCATCCTCCTTTCTGATTCACTCAGTAAGATTATAGCCCAGAGCTCCCTAGGGTAGAGTACCTGACTTGCCGTGTATACCTGCAGAGTACTATGTACAACAGTGTCTCTATATAAATAATAATGATAGTGTAGTCCTATCTTGATGGCTCATGCACAAGGCAGTATCCTGAAACTCTTGTAAACTGCCCCCCCACACACACACACACACATGCACATACACACTTCATCCTACTGTCACCAATGGGGCTTTGGCAGTCATGCCTAGTAGTCATAACAGGGGTGGTCAGAGGCCAGGAACAACACCAAAGGTCAGAGCTGGAGTCAGGAACCAGGAGTCAGAGCTGGGGTCAGGAGTCCGAGAGCAAGCCAAGAGGCAGGTCTATCACTATGACTGGCAGCAGAGTCCACTTCATTGCACTGACACTTCTTGGAACTGTTTGTGGGCTTACATAGGGCACCTGAACCAATCAGAGGCCACAAGCTGTCAGTCCAGCCTTCCAAGATGGTACTTCTTGTGGTGTTTATTTGCACAGGGTGTATGTGATAACGCATATGCACTATTGTGGCTGCTGGATAGTGGCATGGAGGCCATGGCCAGCAACGTAGGTTATAGAACCTCACAGCTATTCTCAGGGAGAGGTGAGAGACAGGACAGTGGGAGAGAGGGCTAAGCTGAAATGCAATGCACTCTAATGATCCTGGCCAGTGGAGTGGCCCCTCAAAGGCCATGAGACTGCTCTAAATTGTGCCAGAGGCCAGTGTAGTCCCCAGTATCAGTAGAGAAGTGTCATAAAGCCACCCATGATCCCGCCTCCCCAGGTGTGCCAAATGCAGCCCAATCCTTTTCTTGTGACTCCCCCACAGAGAATGAATCCACCTGCCTGGGATACACACCTAAAAGCCTTAAGAAATAAAATGGCATGTAGTGTTTTCACCTGCCTGGCAAGGAGGCTCAGAGGTGCCACATTTCACCACAGCTTCCACACCTACCACAGGTCCTTAGGTAATGAAAGAATAAGCCCCCTTCTGGGTATTCTCTCAGGGAATGTTCAATGGAAAATTGGAATGCAAGAGACTGAGAAGCAGAAAGCACATATGATAATCAGGGATGGCGTAAACTGATCTGAGTAGCCTAACAACCTGAATTCCAATCCAACCAACCTGAATCTTTGCCCAAAATGCCAGTCCAACCTCTCAACCTTTCCAAGATTAAAAAAAAATGGTTATTTTTTTTCCAACTTTCACAGTTGTTTGAGATTCCATCTATTACCAGAAATGTACCAAAACACAGAAGAGCCTTTCTCACAGATCATTCTGAATTGAACAGTACAGGGAATTACCAAAAAGCTGGAAAGAAATCCTGTTCTCTCAGGATCTGCAAATTGACTTGTAGGTACAGATAAACATACTCTGTCCATTCCAGACTTATCTCGGGACTCAGCTTAGTGCGTGACAGCATCAAGCCCAGGTGGCACCGATACTGTCACGGTCTTACACTTCTAACCATCAGGAAAACACAGGAGCAAAAAGGAGCTTCCTCCTGGTAGTTACAACTTCCATGAGGTGATTGATCCTAAGTGTGCACTGCTCTGAGAAAAAGACGGTTACTCACCGTTGTAACTGTTGTTCTTCGAGATGTGTTGCTCATATCCATTCCATTAGGTGTGTGCGCGCCGCGTGCACGATCGTCGGAAGATTTTCTACCCTAGCAACACCGGCGG